CAATTTACAAGCTTAACATAATGTTACTTAATTTTAAATAAATAAATAAGAAGATGTTTCTCAGCAAACTTATACTAGTACTGAAGAAAACTATGTAAACGCGTGAGAGCTAATTCTACACTCAAACAAAAAATATGGGGAGTATAAAAGGTAGCCTCAGATGTTGAACAAAGTGAACTACAAGTGTGGTAGAATCCCTGACTATGACTGACTTACACACACTTTACAGATATTTGAAATCACTATTAATAAATTACATAACATTGTATTCACCCAATTAAACATTCTTTCTATACAATTTTCATATTTTAATAGTTTCAAAATTGCTCTTGCTTCAACATCACTCTGTTCAGCTGCTTTCTGATACAGTTCAAATGCAATGCCTTTCTAACCTCCTCTACTCCAATTCCATGTCAACAATTTCATCTTCATAGCAATAATCAAGATTATTTTGTGCACTAGCATTCCCTTGTTTAGCTGCTTTTTCATATAATTCAACTGCCTTCCTATCATCTTTCTCTACTCCAATGCCATTTTGATAGCAATAACCAAGATTATACTGTGCATCAGCATGTCCTTGTTCAACAGCTGTTTCATATAATTCAACTGCCTTCTTTGCATCTTTCTCTACTCCAATTCCATTTAAATAGCAATAACCAAGACAGTATTGTGCAAAAGCATTATTTTTTTCTGTTGAGAATTTATACCAGTAGACTGCTTGATTAAGATCCTTTCCAATTGTTATTCCATGTTCATAAAAAAAACCAAGTAACATTGAACATTGCCCACAATCAACATGATCCTTGAGCCTCTTAACAGGAGGATCACACTCTTGATACCATCCATTATGTGTTAACCAGTCTCTAATGAAATTAGCAACCTGATCTGGCTTTTTTCCTTTTGATACTTCTTGCCATATACTTGATAATTTGTCAGAAAATGCATGATTTAAAATTTTTGCAGGTTGGCTCATTATACTTAATCTATCAAAAATCTGTTCACAAGATGGTCTTTTCTCAGGAACATCGTCCCAACATTCTGAATATAATGCAACATATTCCGCAGGAGTCCCCGAAACTGGAGCATCTCGACTACCATTTAGTCTATAATTTATAATGTCATTACAATGCTGAAGTCCATCACATGGTCTCTTACCACCCGAAATTTCCCACAATACCACTCCGAAGCTAAATATATCAGACTTTTCATCACGTTTAGTAGAAGAGTCGAATAAACATCTAGGGTCAAGATATGGAAGAGTTCCTTTAACATTCGAACTGGTTTTCTGCTGTAAGATCAGGTCAGACAAACCAAAGTCTGTAATCTTCGCCACGCCGGCATGAATCAATATGTTATGTGAAGACTAAATGATAATAAACCGTCAATTGTTATTTATAGAACATTTGATCAGATAATGTTGCTTCTCGCACATATATACGTACCAAATCTTTATGTATAATATGACGCTCATGAAGATACCTCAGGCCATTAGCGACATTGATACCGAGGTTACATCTCGTAGGCCAGTCCAATTCAACAGACGAACCAGATAGATAAGATCGCAACGAACCACTGTCAGCATACTTGAAGACCATCACATATCTATTAATCGTATCTAGTCATCAAGTCTCCGTTAATATCACAACATAATATGTACGTCGTAACAGTATCTCAATGCTTACCTTTACTCACTCCAAGGAATCGAACAATGTTGGGATGATCATCAACGCTACGATGAATCTTAAGCTAAAAGTATCGTTGATGGATAGTGTAAATAAAGCAAAAAATCTGAATATAAAGTCATCATCTATATTACTAACCTCCTTGATAAAGTTTTCGAGCATCTCATCTTCATTCTGCGAATGTAAAAGCTTGTATGCCACCGTTCTACCTATCGATTTCACTTTGGCTTTGAAGACCGCTCCGTATCCTCCGCCACCGATGTATAGCACGTCAATAAAATCATCAAAAGAATAAAAGCGAATGCTTCCATCATCAATATTTTTTCTTAGCCATTCCTTATCGGACTGAATTGAGGCCATGTTTGTTTGCTGTCCGTGCTGTGATTTACAACGACTTCTCACTTTTTGCCACCCACCGGAGTAGTGTGACCAATAATATGAAAGAACGATTGTTACATTAAATGCAATTCTCATCCAATCGGATTGGAAAATTTTTAACACATTATATGTATGTTTATCTAGTTTTTTTGGATGCTATATCAGAAGTTGTAGTAACTGTCCGTCATTGCTTAGAAGAAAATTTATGATTAAGCAGGAATAATGAGCATTCTTGTGTATTTTATCGCAAGACATACGTACGTTAATTCTGTACGTCTGATAAATGAGTAAGAAGAGCATTACTTGTGGCCACGTTGCTGGTAGATTGATCGAAAATCGTTCACTTTGTTTGAATAACGTAAAGTTAAAAATGCTAAAATACCAAATGCGAAGGTTGCAATTTTGCAACCATTTATAAGGGTGGGTTTTATGGATATTATGAGAATCTAGTAATACAATTTGCTGATACTGATTATAAAATTATTGTTAAAATACCGTACATTTGCGTTACATAATTTCGTATCAGTGGTATCAAGAACGCATCTTAATAACGTTCGGTGAAGAAAGTTTGGGAACGTTTGTAGAATGTGGGAGATATTTAGTCGAGTGTAAAGGTGAATAAGAGAATATTTGTTTGAAACATGTGAGGACCGGCTGTGATACTAGTTGGTTGTTGATCAATATAATTTACAAAAATCAACTTAACTTTTCTCCGCTTCTATATGGAGACAATTCTATAGATTTTTTTTCCAATTGTTAATACTATAATTAAAGGATTACTATATTTACTGTCAATGTTATTGTCCAAAATCTGCTGCTATGATGTTGTCAACATTTAATCAAACATGCCAGCATTACAAGATGTACAAGTATCTTATAATAATTTTTTAAAGTGTTAGCAGGCACACACGTCAAACGTAGTCATGCCTGATAATAATTGTTCCGCCAATATACTACCGTGAATAAGCACCCACCCCTATCATACTGAGGGGATAGGACAAATCGACAGTATTAAAATGATCGGCAAATTATTACGTAAGGTATAATCCACAACAGCGTTGAGGGGGAGGCTTACAACAGTAATTTAGTAACTAGAAACGTACTATTATTTCGTATATTCACGTAATAAACTGTAAGTGGGGGGCGCGCCATGCAGTCAATCTAGGTAATCTTGGGGGATACTTATTCACGGTAGTATACGGTAATGCGTATTTACAAAACAACTCAATCTTAACTAGAATAATTATATTATCTAGAAATTGTTTACCAGGTAAACATAAACGGTTGTCATTGGCAAAATGCGGGGTTCACAGATACGTCCGATAACAAAGCATAGTGCAGTAGTGTAAAGCGTCTTGTAATATTATCACACATACACTTAACGTCTTATGTCATCGGGTTGCCATAACATATATGTAAAATGCGGTAACAATTATTGTGCACATTTTTTACACAATTTATCTGATAAACCGTTATTTGCAATAGCTTTGATATTAAATATTGTATAACTTAGTATTAATTACAAAATTTTGTACTGTTACATGACAACACGCACGCAACAAGCATTTAATTACCGGTTTTAAACAGGATAAACCAAACCCACTGGTTTGTATAATATGTGAAACCATCCAATACTACCAGTAATGTAAATAAAACACACCTATGTGCTCGTCAATGTCTATTACACGAATATAGCCTGGAACTATTGTAGAGCTTCTCCGGAATTCCTAACAACCGCTACTTTTTGTTGAAAATGAGTACACGTATAATTTAGCAATTTTTATATCACTTTGTAGCTTTTATTCTCTTTTTCTAATAATTTGCGCAGTCTGCTTGTAATAATTTATTAAATACCGTAAAAAAATCTTTCCATGTCGTTTTCACTGGCACATGGCTTACTCGCGCTTTCAACTTTAGCTCAGGTGTATTAGAATCAACATTTTCAACAGTTCTGGCTGATTTGCGTTCACAGATAATTCAGAAACATTGATCTCATTTACAACTTTTGGTACTATATCAAAATTTTTTGATAAAATAGACAATTCAGAAACATTAGTCGCATTTATTTTTTTGTTACAGTTTAATTGTTCCGATAGATTGATCGATGAAAAGCTCAGATTTACATTTTTTCCTTGAGGGCAAATTTCGCCTAAAAATTGAGCATGTTTGTTTCGTCGTAGTTGATATTTTTTTTAAAGAGCATAATGTTTTCAAATCAAAAACTAAGTAAGGGCAAGGAAACAGATTGAAAAAAATTTACTTGGAGAGATTGTCTTTATAAAAACAATTTAAATCTTGACAATTAATCCTTGGTATAATTGGCTCATAATACAACCTCTATTTACGTACAGAAAATTGATCTGGACAAGAAAACTTGGCTGCACTGTCTTATGGTCGTTTTGGTTGTATTAATTATTCTTGAATACGTTATTTTGCCGAGTGCCAAATATTAAACGCAAAATAATCAACATTATTTTTGATTTTCGAATAGCTGGTACACACATAATGTTATATAACGTACACTCAATCAATGGGCTAACAAACGTAAGCTGCCGATTTCAAAGCCTTATCGAAGATCAGACGTTACGTTAATGCTATTGTGAAATGCTCGGCAATGATCGACAAGAAAAAAAGCTTTATATGTAAATTTTTATAAGGGGCTTGCCCTAAATTACCGATATCAAACCCCACTAAGAGATTGGGGAAATATTTGTTACACTGACCCCTATTATGTGTACGGCAGAATATTGCGCACATACTTATTAACCAAAGTAACTAAACAAACAAGGTTAACGAGCATACTTGGTCCTAAGTCTTGAAAATCGCGGATTGTCTTTCATTTCCCTTCCTGTAACCAATGTATGTGCTTTTCTAGGATTAGGGTATATATTCAGACAGCAATGACACACAGTATTTCCTTCTCTTCTTCACAGAACAGTAATGCGCTCGCAAACGAATACTGTAGTTCTACTAATAGCTGTTGTTCTTGCAGCCTTTGTAACTGCAGGTAGGCATTGATGTAAACTTTATGTCAAAATAGATAGTTGCTAAGCATTCTAGAAAAAAAGGCATGCATACAGACTGAACGAATGCTGTGAACTTTATTACTAATTTTTTATTCAACTTTAAATCTTTGTTTCGAAACTCAAAAGACATAATAGTGATAAATACGCCTCCAGCGCTTATCCAAAACCAAGTCTTTCAGATTACATGGGACTATAACGGTCCCGTTGACGGCCAAGGTCAGTTACTAATTACAGACTATGCAACCCAAACTCCCAACATTATCAGCTCGACTATCCCATTGCAGCAAAAGTCCTTCGCATGGACTGTCAATGTCAATCCGGGCAGCTATTATTTTACGTTAACTGACAGTACAAGCATGAAGATGAGTGGACCTTTTTCAGTTATTGCAAGCGGCTCAACCACGACTAGTGCGGTTAATACTGCTACTACAAGTATTATCACTACCACTACCGCTACTGCTTCTAGTTCCACCACTACTGCTTCTAGTTCCACTACTACTGCTTCTAGTTCCACTACTATTGATTCTATTTCCACTAAACCTACGTAAGTATTGCCAATGAATTTGTCTCTCGAGTCTTTCCGATAGAGTTTCACGTAAAATTAAAAAATTAATTATTCAGGTCTACTAGTGCACCAGCTGAAAACACTCCCGCAGGACATCCGTCAAATGATGGCTCAAAGCCATCATCTTCTATATTATTTATTGTTCTCCTTCCTCTAGTACTTGAAATTTTTGTTCAGATAATCTGAGGTGTGGTGTTCGGATTGTAAACATTCTTCAGCTTTTTTACACCACATAGTTAGAAGTGTTTTTTGGGGGCTTTGCCCTTTTTAATTAGATTAAACGATTTACTAGTTTGTGCCATCAATCTAAGGCAAGATTATTTATATGGAGTAAGTAATGGAATAGTTTGTATAATGCAATAATCACTATTGGAACGGCCACGTTGATAGTAATATGATTATTAACGTAGTCGAATTAGGCGTAACAGAAAATATTGCCCGGTCAGAAATTAAACACAGTTTGAGTTACGGTATTGTCTTATTATTATGAGAACGTTTTCGCTGCTTTAGTTGTACGTAATTGAGTACATGACATGGACCGTAGTTCTTTACAATTTTAAATGAGACGACGTTGACAAAAGAATTTGTGCATTGATTGATGTAATGACAGTTTACTCTAGCCATTCTAATTATAAATTTATGGTAATTATCTAATCTTGATAAGCCGTAGATATGTCAAGTGTTACGATATACGTAATCCGATTCTTACATTTGTTTCCAAAATATTGAGCACAATTGTGTGCGTAATTAAACGTGTGCAAACATTCATCCTTGCGAATAGCAAACATTACGATTACTATAGTTCAGCTTTCTTTTACATCGGTTACTATTCTATTCTCCTTTACTGATAATGCTTACTATCTTATTTGAAAAATTCAACTGAGAATCAGAGTGCTATCGGAAATGAGTCAATAAGAAATATAATTACTGATTATTGTATTGAGGATGTCTGATGCTAGATTGGGAAGCTTGGGCCTGTCATTAGATTACAGTGTCATTTTTGGAGTTGTTGGCACAAATTTGGTATCTGGATTTGCTTGTTCTTCGCTCGAATTGTCTGAAGTGGACGTTTCAATGGCATAAACAGTTTTGTTGAGTTGATGAAGTATGGTCAATAAATTCGTATAATTGGGATTTTCAGCGAGGCGAAGGAGAGAGGTGGTGGGTGGTGATTAATTCGAGATTGTGGAGTTGGATATAAAGCTTGTTATTGTGTAAATCTAATTCTCCTACTGGCGATACCCGAGACCTACCGCAGAATTTTCTTGGAGAATTCGTGGTATTAGTATGGTATTATAACTCGCTACATTTATGTTTGATCTACTGCCGCTTACGTATTGGGTGGTGGGAGAGATGAATGTAGTAATATTATTTTCGCATTCGGGTAGCGGTTTTGATTGTCGCAATTGTGCGTTTATCTGGGAATTGAAGGTAGTAAGTGAACAAGGCATAGATTAATTAATAATGTGTTAATCCTACATGTATAAAAAGGGTAAGTAGTATGAGGTGAGCGTGACACAAAACAGTCTTGCATATACTATATACTGTACAATTAAGCACAACATAATCAGGCAAAGTACTAATGCAATAATATGCAGCATATCAAATGAAGAAAAAGCGATAAACCGACGGTACAAATGATAATGTAGTGAGTTGGAGGAATATTTTTTTCGTAATTAAAAATCAATATAATGTATCGAATGACATATATCTTATTTGTTTCCGACAGATTGAATCGATGACTTTAACAGTTCGTTGATTTGAACCAATATTTGTACATGTTATTAGCACACATTTTGACCGATTACGATTATTTGACTCAGTATTAAAAGCATACCCATTTAACGTTACAAAAAACTGAAAGCATTCTTCAATATAAAATGTCAATATTTGGGTTCGTTGTCCTCAGATACACGTCAATTAGAACATTTGTGCAATAAAGTGTCTATCGTTATTGACAAAGCGTTTGACCTAAATTGACTGAGTACCAGTCTCTTCTGTATACGCTCTATACAGCTTGGAACGAATCTCATCTATCGAAATACCTGGCGATACAGTGATGCTACCTCTCAAACAACTACAAAAGTATATACTGTCCGATGGGTCCGTATCATTTCACCGAAAATCATTTCACCGACGTAATATTTCACCGACAACCATTTAGCCGAAAATCATTTCATCGACAATCATTTCGCCGACATATTCACCAGCATTATTTCGAAATTATCTTTTTTTGGTAGTCGTTGTCGGCGAAATATTACGTCGGTGAAATGATTTTCGGCGTTATGATTGCCTCCCCTGTCCGATATGCAATATACTACACTAAAGGTATTTTTTGATTCACATCCCTTTAGGGACCTGGTGAGTGGAAAGCGATATATAGAATCTGGGAAATCGGTAAACAGAGAAGGGACACACTGTTGGGTTTCCGTGTCATGATGCTGTATCTAAGGTCTCGTATTCTCCGAAGAATTCTACAATCTTCTCGTGGATATACCCCTTCAATCTTCGAAGCTCCTCTCTACATTCAAATGTCTCGAGCAGTCAACCGCATGTAATTGGCTCCATAAGTCACTCGGAAATGTGCATATATCTTTGACACTCTACGAATTTACTTCTCTGGTGCTCGGATAATAAAGGGGTATCTAATTGTGTACTAGCTCAACTTACTGCGATGAAGTGATTATGTTAGATAAAGGGTAAACTGGACCTGCGTCATCCTAACCTTTATTGTATTTGAATCGGGAAGAAGTTAAGCGCAAGTCCGTACTCATCAAAAGACTACAACTTCGATGTTACCGGCGGATTGTATACGCATATATTCGAATTTAATATGTCACCTTATGAATAACAACTAAATTCGTTATTTTTCTGTTCGTTGTTAGGATGCGTCCATATCACAAGCTAGTTTCCATATCACTATATCTGCAATTGGATAGGCAATGAGGCATGGGTAAAGACGATCGAATGGTCTGGTGAAACCGCGTTCAATACTGTGCCAAGGATGATAAATGGATTACCGAAGACGTATCCAGGACATGGGCTGACCAATGTTAGAAATTCAATTGGCTTAGGGTCTTCAAAGCCAGTTCATGCGGTATCTCAAACAGCTTAGATTTCTTTAACTGTTGGATCAAAATAGAAAGTTGTGAGGCATAACATAATCTATATGCGCCCGTACCGATTTTTTGCACATTAACTTTATCATCATTTCGATAAATGGTGCATAGACCCTCTCTTTCTTTTACATCACTCACATCACTTTGTCCAAACAGTTCGAGCGTAGAATATCCTCACGAACGAATGCCGCTGAAATTGCTATCGACTACGCCGAGATACTCATCGAGATGATATTTATTACTTGGTATATAAGGCGAATGTGGTGATTGCACTAGGCAAACGCGGAGGTTACGATGGTACCGTGTTCGCATTCTTATGATAAGTAGTCCATAATTGTGCCTCTCCGTCATCACATCTGTTCCATGACATGCACAATAAAATATAAATGAAGACAGAGAGAAGAAAACGTTTGGAAGAAATCGGATAAAGTGTAAAGGCAGAATTTACATAATGTCTTGGTAACTTGTCCCTTATACAAACCCCCGAAGTGCAATACATTTCCTAGATCGCCTGTCGCTGAAGTTGCATTAAAGCTATGTTGACGATGTGGTTGAAGCTCTCATAGATACCTTCAATGCATTCTTAAATTTCAATACACAAAATGTGATTGTTTGTTAGTCGATCAAATTCTTGTAAGAGAAATATTTACAAAGAGATCGGTAAAAATGCCGTGTTAATTATTGGCGCGGATTATTTCTAGTACTGGTTCTAGTCCATCTTTTGCCTACTGTCTGGCCACAGGTAATCCAGTATCAATAATGAATTTGCTTTCCGATACATCTTTCAGCCATAGTTGCACCTTCCTGACGTGATGGATAATAAAGAACTAACATATTAGATAAGCGCTTTTTGCTGTGGTCAGCCGCGCCATCTTCCCAAAGTACATCTCCAATATAAACGCCTAAATGTAAGGCTATACGGCAAATCATCCCATTAGTATTATCAAAATCTACAACTTCCCACGTTAACACACAAATTCTTGAATCATTTATCACATTATAATTTGTTATTACAAAAAACAGTAGACCCGATCAAGATTACGTTCTCATCAAAACGATACTATCGATACTCTGGCAATGGTTCGTAATCAGGATAACAACTTACGAGTAATAAGACGGAATAGTAAAGTCGCGTAACGCAAGTTAAATAAGTTGATTCAATGTTTTTGCACGTTCCCATATAAGTAAAAGCTATATTTTTTTTAATTATATGCTTACAAAATTTAACGCACTGCGCAGCAGGTTTTTTATTACGCTAGTTCATTAAAATATCAACTAAACCGTCTCAAGTGTCGACATATTCATTGAGAGGCAATTGTCTTCTCTGTTCGAAATGTCACTCGGACCCGAGAATTAATTAATTTGGGAAGACTTCCGGGTACTAATAATCGTATATGCGGCACGCTCGATTCTGGATTAGGAATACCTATGCTCTCCAAATCCCAATTACCATTAGATATTATGAATCCTAATATGGCTACTACAGTCGGTATTAAGTTAGACAATGTGAATACGCCGGTGATAGTAGATGGACGTTTATGTCTAAAGATAACATGGGAAATCCAGCAGTCTAGACCCGGCTGCACATCTAAGGGTTTGCCTCACACAATGAACATTTTGAACAATAACATAACAAAAAGATGATTGTTCAGGCGTTAAACCTGTTTAGTGGACTAAACAAACCGGTTATGAAACATTGGCGCAATTTTTACAACCATCGGTACACCCACGTGACGTAATACAATAAACGTTGAGATGAGATTTCTGAAAGGAGTGAGTGAAAAACTTTGTTCATTCAAACATGTCGTTAGCATCAGGGACTATTAAGAATCCAGTAATTGACAACTTGGTTGGATCCTCTTTGGAAAGTGAAAGTAAATATTTAAGACTTGAATGGATTCCTTACGAAGAAATCACCAACGTAAAGCCGACTCAAATTGACAACGTCTACTGCGCTATTCGCAAAAGTGATAATGATGAGACGATAACGCTAGTATTACTTGGAAGTAACGAAGAATGTACACCAACACTTGTGAGTGAGTTTGCTAGAATATACTCACTTCCAAC